ACAGAAAGCTGAGAGGAGATTTGCCAACCACTACAATGGAAGGGATTGAGATTAGAGTCAGGTAGAACCAGAAACCTCCGGAGCCTGGAAGGGTTGATGATTGGAGAGGAAAGAATGAAAGGGAGGAAAAAATGAGTATCTTAGCCGAAACTTGGAAGCAGGAAGTCACTTGTCCACTGTCTCTGGCTTTTCTCCCCTTATAAATTCTAGGGAAGTCCTTGATCTCCAAGGCCCCCATCTCCACAGGCCTTAGCTACTTGGATAACATTACATTGACTCTGGATCCAATCCCAGAGGCAAGTCCAGGCATCGGAACTCCAATGAGGCTGGAGCTGAGTAACCAGCTGCTACAACTATGCAGACTTTTTGTCAGGGAGCAAGGAGTGCCCCACCCCCACCTCACACAGGGGATTGGGGTGGAGGAGGAGCAGACTGTCACTCTAAGTCTTCCATCCCCCTCCCACCACTACCACCATCTCCTCCTTCCCACCTGCAAGTAATTTGGCCAATGGGAGGGCAGCTAAGATTGCAGTGTGGAATCCTTCTAGATCTGTGTGCATTTGCTGAGGAGGGGTCTACCCCCCCCACACCCCCTAGACCCCATGTAACCTTTTCGTCTTCACAGAAGCAAATTACTCGTAATTATCTCACATTGAAAGCCTTCAGGAGCTGCTTCCAAAATTGCTTTAATTGAATTAATTGAATCTCATTTTGTCGGAGGACAGAATGAGGGGCATACCTTAAAATAGTATGGGGGGTGGGAAGGGAGGGAAAGTGAGTGACCTAGGGGGAGGGAAACCCCAAGGCAGCTTTCCCAGCACTGGAGACCACATTGGTGTTCCCTTGTGCCCTGACCATTCCCGGACACGCCTTCCACTTTCCAGTCTCAGCAGATTTCAGATCCACACCCCGATGCCTGGCCTTTTGCATTTGGGACCTTGTATGGGTCCTGCTCTCAGATGGTGCTGGGCAGTTCCCTTCCCCCTCCCACTCTCAGGAGGCTGGTCTGCTGGAGACCAGGGGGGTGAATGGGTTGCTGTAAGGCCTCCCCTCCCTGATAATCATAACAGCAACTATAAATGCCATTTATTAAGTGTTTACTGTGTTCCAGGCACTGGGTCAAGCATGCTACAAACACTATCTCATCTCATCATCACAACCACACCACGAAGCAAGTCCTGTTAGCATGCCTTTCCTAGCAAGCCAGGATGGGGGGTGGGGGGTGGGGAGGAGAATAAAAGCCTCAGAAAGAAGTTAAGAAATGAGCTTAGCCTGGTGCAGGGTGGCTCCTGACTGTAATCCAAGCTATTCAGAAGGCTGAGATCTGAGGACCATGGTTAAAATCAGCCCAGGCAGGAAAGTCCCAGAGACTCTCATCTCTAGTTAACTATCAAGAAGCTGGAAGTGGAGCTGTGGCTCAAGTGGCGGAGTATCAGCCTTGAGTGGAAAAAAACTAAAGGACAGTACCCAAGCCCTGCGTTCAAGCCCCAGTACTGGTGTGCATGTACACGTGTGCACACAGGAAATTTGCCAAAAGTCACATAGCTAATGAGTGATAGAGCTTGTACTCTTTGGGGGCTAAAGTATCCACTAAGTCTGATTCCCCTTCTCCAATGTTCCCATTGGGGCTTGCTAATGAGAAGAAGCCTTGGGGCTCTCCTCTCTAGCCCTGATGGTTTGAGAGAAATGGGAGGGGGTAACTTCTAAGGGAATATACCTCCTCAGAGGCCAGGGAAACGGAACTAGCTCCCAAGTGGAGAAAGGAATTCCTACTTCCCCTGGAAGAAGGATGAGGGTAAGGACAGGGGCTGCTGTGGGCTCAGCTCAGCTAGTCCCTGGCTGGAAGAGCAATTACATTTCTTCTGCTACTTAACTTTACAACCCGGGCTGTTGTTTTAACGATGGGACGCGTGTTGGGCTGTCCAATTAATCTGCCTTTGGAGGCTTTCCGAGATGAGGCGGTAGATCTTATCTGGGCGCTGTGGAAAGAAGAGTGTGCAGCCTGTCTGGGAGGGAACAGCTGCCCCAAGGGCCTGTGGCCTCAGAGGAGACCCAGAGAAGGGATCTCAGGCCAGGCTACCCCCAAAAGCAATGGGACCAGCACCTGGGGTGGGGGGGGGGGCAGGGGACAAGGAAAGGCACTGGAAGGGAGCATGAGAAAGGGGCCATTCCTCTGAGCACTCTGACTTCTCACAGTTCTAGGTCTTGGCTTTGGCCTGCTCTGTGTCATTTTTCCATCCCTAAGAGAGCCCTTGGTGTGTGTCTTCGGTCACTGGGGTGGCCCCTGACCCAGAAGGGGGACAAGGAAAGATTGTTTACAGGTACCCTAAGGTGGGGTAGTGCCTCCACTGAATGTGACACCTCTCCTGTCCTACATTTGAATCCAAGTGGAGCTTTTTTCTCTCTGGCACTGAGTTGAATGGGCTTTTCAGCCTGGGGCAGGTTGCCCCCACTTCACAGTGCTTGAGAACAGGTTTAGGCAAGGAAGGAAGCTCTCCTAGGAAGCCTTTTGCCTAGAATTGGAGGCCCCTCCCTAGCCCCTGGGGATACTGTTGGGTTGGATTCCCTGGATGATTCTCCCGTGTCCTCTGCCCTCCTCCCACAGCCCTCCTCACCCCATGCTGCGCGCGCGCGTGGTGGGGTGCAGTGGCCATGAATCACCACTGGGGCCTGCTGCTCCCAGCACTGCCCAGCCTTCTCACCCAGCACTGACCTCATCAGCACCACCCGACTGGACTAGAAGCCCTGGACAGTGCCCACAATGCCACCTATCTTACCCTTTGTCTGTCTCTTGCCACACAGCCTCTGGTCATTTGTCTGGCTCCCTCTTAGCCTGAAGCAGCTGCCTCAGTCAGTCTCCAAGCTATCCCCAGGATCTAACACACCGCAGGGCCATTTAGCTAGCTGTGTGTTAGAGAATTCTACTTCTGGGTGGAGTTTTCCTTCTTTTTGTTCCTGGTGGTGGGCTGAGGCCATTCCACTTGGAAGCAGGAAATTTGTCTTAAAAGACTGGTCAAGGCCAGGCACTGGTAAGCTTATGCCTGTAATCCTAGCTACTCAGGAGGCTGAGATCTGAGGATCACAGTTCAAAGCTAGCCCTGGCAGGAAAGTCCATGAGACTTATCACCAAATAACCACCAGAAAACCGCAAGTGGCACTGTGGTTCAAAGTGGTAGAACACTAGTCTTGAGAAAAAGAGCTCAGGGACAGCAACCAGGCTCTGAGTTCAAGCCCCATGGCTGACAAAAAAAAATAGATTTTTAGGGCTGGGAAGGTGGCTCAGTGGTAGAGCGCTTGCCTTGTATGCATGAGGCCCTGGGTTCGATTCCTCAGCACTACATAAGCAAAAAGAAAAAAGCTGGAAGTGGCACTGTGGCTCAAGTGGTAGAGTGCTAGCCTTGAGCTGAAGAGCTGAGGGACAGCACCCAGGCCCAGAGTTCAGGCCCCACGACCGGACCCAAAAAAAAAAAAAAAAAGATTTTTATTTTAAAGGACTGGTATGGCTCAATGGGTGTCTTCTCTCCAGGTGGGCAGGGCTTCTGCTTGGGGCTACAGATTGATTGTGGGGTGTGTGAGGTGCTGAGTCTTCCTACAACTGAGCCAGGGGAGAATCTGCTGGCAAAGACCAACCACTCCGACCTTGGTCATTCCCAGCATGGGCATGCTCTCATTTCATAGCAGAGCATATGAAACTACAGGCATGAATACACATTCTACAACTAGAACCATAGAGCTAGGAAGTGGCAGAGGCACAATTAGAATCTAGGTCCTCTGACTCCTAGATCAGATGCAACTGAGAGACGAGCAGCCAGTCCAGACCTTTGTGCAGTCAGGAGACAGAAACTTTTCACAGACAGGACCCAGGGTTTTGCACAAACTTTAATCTCCCGAATCTCATGGTGTGCAGGATGGTAAGCACTTGAAAGGGGGTTAGTCAGACTAAGAATGAACTTGAATGGTTCCTCTGGACAGAGAATACTGTGACTAGCTGAAGTGTCAGGCCACCCAACCTATTTGGGGTAGGCACTCATCCAGAGAGTCTGTGTCTTTATTTCCCTCAAAGTGTGAGTTTACTGGATTCCCAGGGTCTGGGGCTTGTGCATAAGGGATTGAGAATAGGAGGGAACAAACTCCTAATAAATACCTGTTGAATTATATGGACAATTGGTGTCCATTATCTACTCAAAATGGGTAAACATGAGGAGAAGAAAAACTTTTTTTTAGGAGGGAAGCATAAAGCTGGGCATTGTGGTAACATGCTTGTAATACCAGCACTGAGAAGGCAGACTGGTGGATCATGAGTTCAAGGCCAGCCTGAGCTCCACAGCAAGAAACCATCTTAAAATTCTTTTTTTGGCCCACAGGCCAATGAGCTCCACATTCCCAGGTTTAGTTGGCTTTGTGCTGGAGATAGAACCCAGGGACCTCCTGCATGCTAAGCACTTGTACACACTGAACTACACACTACATCCTTAATTACAGAAGTAATGGGCTCACCACCAAGGGAAAAAAAAAAATCTGTGGCTGGCTAGAACCTGATGGAGGCCCACTGTGAAGACCACAGGTGTTTATTTCTGTTTTCTCTCACAAATGAGCACACTCGGATCCACGGTGCATGCTGAGAAAATGAAAAATATACTCAAATGTTTTCTACTGGTTTTGACCCCAAGCTGTGGTAGGGCTTCAGGGGGGAAGGGAAGCCTATGTATGGGTCCTTGGGGAGTCAAAACTGGAACCAATGACCTCTCTCCAGAGCCTTTGTCCAGTGGAGAGAATGCATTCAGTCCATGGTAGTGGTGGTGCAGTGGTGAAGGCTGAACTCCTTCATTTAGCTGTCTGAGTCAGGGGAAAAGGACTCTGCCATCCCTTTTCCTCCTCTAGCTCTTCATCCCGAAAAAACTCATCTGGAACTGGTTTCCTCTCATCCCAGAAGGGGTGCAGGTGTGCTGGGTTCCTGGGCCTGGCAGGAGGGCTAGGGCCTGGCTAGCCCTTCCTCAGACTCACATCATCTGAGGTGGAGCCAGCACATCTGGGGAGAGATGTTGATACCAGGCTCCAAAGCTGTTGCCATAGCCACTGACAGGCAGGGTGCCTGTCTTGGGGAGATCCCAGAAAGACGGAAGGGGTGGGGAACATGGAGACAGGGAGGGAGGTCTCCCAGGCAAGTCCCCTTCTTGCCCCCCAGAGTTCTGCTTCAGAAGCTTCTTATATTTAGAGCGTTTGTTCTGGAACCAGATCTTTACCTGGGGGTGGGGCGGGAAGGGGACAGAAGGCAAGATTAGGAGCATGTCTGGAAGAGTTGTTGAGGAAGGGAAAGGGCTGCTCAGAGCAGCTCTTCTTCAAGAGAAGAGCAGAGGGCCAGAACCTCTGCGGAAGGACGAGCTGGCCTCACCTGGGTCTGGGTGAGGCCGAGCTGCGCTGCCAGCTGGGCCCTCTCAGGCAGTGCCAGGTACTGTGTGTGCTGGAAACGCTGGTTGAGATGCTGCAGCTGAAGGCTTGAGTAGATGGTCCTTGGTTTACGCTGCTTCTTGATGAAGGGCTGTGGGAGCTGTTCTGAGGGCTCCAGGGACAGCGGCTCCTTCTCAGATTCTGGGAGGCAGCACAAGAGGGGAAAGACTGGAAAGGTCAGACATAGACTCATGCGCACCTCTCCTGCACGTCCCCAAAAGACTAGCAACAAATACACCACCATGAGCCTCCATCTCCTGCCCCTGCCCCCTTTCTGCTTTTTCAGTCTTCAAGCATCCAAGGTGCTAAGTGATACAAGATCTACTTCTTGCCTTCCAGGAGCTCACACTCATGGGTTCTGAATGCCCAAAGGGGCAGGGGCCAGAGCTAGGGTACCACTCAGGCGCCTGCTGCAGGAGGGAGGTCAGAGTTCACCCGCTCCGGGCAGGGCGGGTTAAAGGTCCGGTGGAGGACTGGGATGACCAGAAAGGGCATTCCAGGATCAGGGAACTCGAAAGTTATGTTGGGAGTGAGGGGGAGGCTGGAGGCGGACAGAGATAGTGTCTGCGTGGCACCCTCCGGCTGCGGAAAGAGGAAGAGCTCTAAAGGTCTGGCTGATCCGGCCTTCAGTGCCAGCACCGTAGAATGGGGAAGGGCCTACCCCGCCTAGGTGTTCGCTTGCTTCCCTTACAATAACCGACCCCCCCCCTCTCCCGAGGAGCACCCCCCCGTAGGAAAAGTGACCATCTCTCCATATTTTATAGGGGCCTCAGAAGCCAGGTTAAGGGGAAGGCAGCCCTATTTTCCAATGGGCCACACGAACCGAGGGAATTTTCTCGTGGCCGGGAAGGTGACCGGCATCCCAGAGCGCCGCCTGGGGCCACGAAGGTCACCGGGGCTGCGCCAGGCACCGCCCAGGTTGATCGCCCCCACCTTCGGTCCCCCTGGTTCTACAGCAATTCCAGCCGCCCTGCAGCTGGACCGTAAATGTTGGTGCAAGGGTGGGGGTGGGGGTTCCACATTTTCCCCTCCAGCGGGTAGTCCCAACTCGCCACTCAGCGAGGACACGAGAGAGGGCCCCCGGGCCATAGGAACAGGAAGGTGAACCGAGCGGACCAAATGCCCTTAAGGCTTAAGGCGACATTCGGCATTTGCGCAGATCTATCCTGGGGACCCCAGCCGAGAAAGCCTGCATCCCCAGGGCGCCCGCACGGCTTCTGTCCACCCTGGCCCGGTTCCCCCATTCCCCCCACCCCAAGTCAGGGTTTCTGCCCTTGGTTGGCCGGCCAGCCGCCTTCTCCAGTCGCCTTCGCCTCCCCCGCAGCCCTCACCAGCGGCCTCGGGCTCTATGGCTTCTCAGACACTCAGACACACACACACACACACCATCGACCCCTGCCTCAGCCAATGCCCAGAAAAACCATTGGGCTTCCGCTCCCACCAGCGTCTGTCCAGCCTCCCCTGCTCTCAGCCCGGGGGCTGGCAACCCAGCGACCACTCTGGCTGGTGGACAACACTATTATTCAGGCGGGGACGCAGAGAATGCAAGCAAAACCTCTGATGATGAACTCCTAGAGCTCTCTGCACCCCAACTTTCAGAGCTGGACACCCCCCCCTCCACACACACACCAGTTCCTTCCAGGACAGCTGCCATTTCCACCCCAGCTACAAGTCACAACTGGATTTGCCCTGGTCTGGATAATGGAGCCCTAGGGTCTCCCTGGAGGCACAGGTTTTTGTTGTTGTTGTTTTGTTTTGTTTCCTAACCAAACCTGTGAGAATGGGAAAATGGGCTGACAGTGGAGATAAAAGGAGGACCCTATCTCAATCATTCACACCCCAGTGGTTTACTCCGGAGTGGTCCGAACACTCGGTTCCAATAGAGTTACAAGCTAGTTTAAAGACATTTGCCTGGTGAGCGGTTGTGTAGCTTTTCGTTGGATCCGGGTAAAGTCTAAAGGAATGGGACTCTGCACTCCACCGGCTTCAGAAGGAGAAAGGGAAGGCAAAGGAGTGTGGGAGACAAAACAGACAACACTTAGCACAGTGGGCAGTTTTCCCTAGGGTAAGGTCAGGCTAGTCTCACCCCATCCCCCAGCACACTGTCCCCCCCCCCCCCCCAGAGTGTATGCACATGCCACATGCCATTTTAACATATCTTTAAGGAAATACTCTGGGGGATTCATTTGTAAAAACTAGATCTGTAGGACCTTCCCTCTCAACAGTTCCTCCTCCAGCCGACCAGCAGCTTGAGATAGGTACCCCCAATTCTGTCACAGGAGGCAGCTAACTTAACAGGGTTCTGAGAAGTTCCTTAAAGTTCTATTTCCTGACTCCACACAGTGAAAGTGGCTTTGCCTACAGCCAGGGGCCTGGAAACCTGGCAGTGTCTTTGATCCATAAGAACCCTTTCTTCTTGCCTCAGTTTGCTCATGAGTAAATCAAGGAAGTTGAGCTCTCAAGTGCTAAGATCACTTCAGATTCTGAAAGTTCTTGAGAGAAGGGAGCTGTCTTGGTCTTGGGTTGACTGAAGTAAAGTCAGTTGTTAGATGTGCAACCTAGGAGGAGACTGTACCAAAGACAATGGTAGGGACCTGGAGTTCATTCTGTGTCTACGTAGAGGGCACTAATACTACGTGGGCCAATATGTCAGCTCCTCTGTGCAAATTATGACTGGGGAAGACCTGTTAGTTCCTTGGTTTCATTGAAGCTTTCCAGACAGCACTTTCTCAGGAGCTCAAAGTTGATCCAGGAACTGGGGCCTAAGCTACCCTAACATCAAGGGTGGAGATGGCAGGGATGGCTGCCATCCTGTTGACTGCCTAGTCAACTTGTGGCTCAGTTCTTTGAACAATGGGTGGTGGGGTACTAAAACCAGACTTCGCTAAACTAGCTTCCAGTCAAGGTCAGACAATCTGGGGAAAGGGGGTGGGGCCCAAGAAGAGAGAGGAAAGCTCCCGCCTAGAGGTCTATAGCTCTCCAGCTGGGAACAGATTTGTGTTTAGCAGGGTTTGGCGGCAGTACTGCTTTCCTCAACAAGAAAGGCCACAGGGGAGGGGCGTACAGGTTGGGGAGAATCCTCAGGAAGGGGCTAGGCCCCCACCCTACATCTGGATTGAAGCAGTTACCCTTAGGTTCACACTACCCGGCAGCTCTAGGGGGTGGGGAAGGGAGCCCTCCCGCCTGACTTCACACAATGGCAAATCAAAACCTAGTAGGTTTTGAGACCAGGATCCGTTCGCTCAGCAGCCCCCCCTCTCACTCCCCCCCCACACACATCAGGATGTCTCCCGCCCCATCCCTTTGCATTCCCCTCCCCCACATCCCAAGGTTTGAATCCCGTTAGCTGCTTGCAACCAGGCGAGGGCGAAGTTTAGGGGCACTGGAGCCGGACCCCAGAAGTGTGGAGAGCTGCCGCCGCCAGACTTACCAGCCTCAGGTTCCTGCGGATGTTCAGCGGGACCACGGAAGGGCTGGTTTGGCGCCCCAGGTTGCTGGCAGGACAGGTAAGAATCTCCTGAGGTCGTCGGTGCTGTGTAGGAGTAGGACAGAAGGTGGCCATATGGCCGGGAGTAGGGCAGATCAGGGAGGGCTGCGGTTGTGGGGGACAGGCCAAGTGGGTAGGCAGCCACTACCGACGGGACGGGGGCGAAGTCCGGGAAGTCAACTTTGGAGGCGTCCTGGCCAGGGAGGGGGCAGGGCAAAGAGGTCATTGTGGCCGAGGCTGGGGCCGAGGGGCTTAGGTCATGACCCAGCACTCTGTCCGTCTGCCAACTCTCTTCCCCAGCCTCTAGTGCTGGGGTGGCCGAGCCCCCGCAGCCAGCTGCGCCGCACTTAAGATCCCAGGAAAAGGGTCTCTGCGCCTCTTCCAGAGGAGAGCACGCACCCGAGAACGGGGTTCCGGGGGGTGCCCCCATGGCTTTTCCCCTCCCCCCTAGGTCCTTGAAGTTCCCCTCCTTCAGTTCAAGGGGTTCGGCTCCCGGGATCCGACGGGGGCCACTCCCACTGAGACGTTCGCGATTGGCTGCCGTACGCGGTGACCTCACGGAGGCCGGCAGCCGGCGCCCGCCCCTCGCGGGGGAGCCTGCCTGGGGAGATGGGCGGGGTTCGGTGTGCTACCTCCAGGCCCACCTATCTCGGGGTCTTTTCGTTAAGGGGGTACCAGGTTGCCAGGTGATTGGTACGTCAGGGAGCGTCGGTTGCAAGGTCCGAAGTGCTCGGGAATTGGTGGGTAGCCCAAGGGGCGTGGAGAGCTGCGCCGGGGGCGGAGGCGCCGGGCTTTCCAGGGACGGGTTCGAGCTCTCCATCTCTCAGGGGTCTGCGCGGCTTCCTCCCCTCCCCACCCCTGCACCTCCCGGCTCGGGAATCAAGAGCAGACCGCCAGCGCCAGCGGCTTATTCAGCGCGTCGGAATGCGTCGCTGCTGAGCCCTGGCAGTTTGTTGGTAAACAGACGCCGGGACCGGGAGGGTGCCGCCTGGCGCCCGGCCGGCCCCGCACGCGTGTGGCGCGCACGCCCCCGCGGGGCGCCCTCCACCTGGCACGCTGCGACCGCCGCCGCCGCAGCGCCTGGCTGCCCCCTCCCCCGCCGGCTTCCGCTTCCGGCGGGGGCCCGGGTTTGGTTGCGACACGGCAGGCCCCCGAGGGTGCGGGAGGGGTCTGCTGTCTGGGTTTTGCCTGTGCTGCGCCCCGCCTTTCCTGGCGCCGCGTGAAGCTAAGTAGCCTTGTTTGAATTGGGACAAAATCTGGGAGCGGGGATGAGTTTAGATTGTTGGCTCCGAGGAAGACGTGGGAACGGTGGCAGAGGAGGTCTGCCCGGCTGTGCAGGACTTGCCTCCTCTAAACACAGCTACCGAAGGCCTCGGTGGACACGTGTCTTTGTATACAAGCAGCTGTTGCCACATGCGCACAAATGCACAAGGACTCCACTCAAATACAACCTATGTCTTCTCATACCAAGACACAGGTGTCTGCGCACGTGTTCGCACTAGTGTCTCCCATGAAAAGCTTATTCCTGGATCTGCAAACACAGAAATCAGGCAGTAATATAAGACCAAAGATGAAGAACAAGTCCTTGAATAAAAACACTGTATATTTGTCTCTTACACAGACAAGTATTTTACACAAGCAAATCAGTTGTTGTACAGACTCAAAAATAAGGAAAATCCAAGCATTTATGCACACGTACCTATCCTGTAAAAGACATCCAAGCTGCTTCCTGCTAGGGGAGACAGTCCGATTCCTCACTGATTCTCCTGACAAATTTATACTCCTTTTCCCATTATGTGCAACTTTGCAGGCACCCTCATGTTTATACATACACATTATAAAACAACAGTCTTGGAGGAAAGAAGAAATCCTGAAAGAGTAAGAGAAGAGGAAGAGAAGCCAACTCACTGGGTGGTGGTCAGGCCTTCTATGAGAGAAAAATCTCAAGTTCTATGGGGTGGTTGAAGCCCACAGGTTGCCAGCAGGAAGGAAAAGAAACCAACTTCAAATTATATTACTCCCCCCACCGCCTCTTCCTGCTCCTGGAATGGATAAAATTTAGTTTCTCCAGGAAAATACTTTTGTAGGCCTTGGCAGAGTACTCTGAAGCCTTGGAGAGTCTTCTCTGGATGGCTGGTGAACCCACTCCCCTTTTGTTTGACAGAGTGCAAGGTTTTGCTCGGGAGATGTGCTACTTCCATGTGGGATGCAGGACCACTTTACCCCATGCTCCAGCCATGTAGTCATCTCCTTAGAGCTGGCGACATGAATTTGAGGATGTTCCTTTGCAAGCCTTCCTTTCTAGCACCATCATGTTCCTCTGGAGGGAGGCTGCCATGGTGAGGTTCTGGGATTGGTATATTAGGTGAAGTGGAGGAAAGGAGAGGTCTTGGAGGTAGGCTTGGCTCTCTGAGAAGGTTTCACAGCAGAGATGTTTTTGAGCTAGAATTGAAAGATTGGTGGAGGATACTTCCATACTTCCTCCTTTCTGTGCTGGACCTAGCAAAGAAGTACAAACATTGGCTTTGGGCATTCTCCAAAGCTAGGTGTTCAGTCATGAAAACATTTCCTAAACTCTCCTAAGTGCTTAAGAAACTTCTCTGAACTCATGTAGGATTCTTATCCTGGTGCAGCAACAGAAAACAGATCGCAGTCCTTTGGAATGCATCACTCACACGCTCTCTGCATCTTTCCTGAAAGCACATGCAGTAGGTGCTGTTATTAGCACCATCTTGTTCCTTGGGAAGGAGGCTGCCATGGTGAGGTTCTGAGGTTGGCATATTAGATGAAGTGGAGGAGGAAATCTCCCTCTCCAACACTTGGCTCTCTGTGCCTCCTCTTCCTACACTCCAAAGGGTATGGGACTTTGACAATGGGCTGGAAAACCTGGGGGTTTCCTTTAGATGCAGATTCCCAAGAAAGGGGGTCTAACAAGACAATTCTCAACCTCAAGAAAGGTGGAAGTGATGGATATGCAGGCGAGGAAAGGCAGTGATAATGTGGCCTCCTGAGGTTCCTGAGTTTCTATCCAGAGCCCCTCTAAGATGCTGGCTAGTCAGCCATCTCCTGCTAGATACTATCAGCTATGAAAGGAGGGAGCTGGCCTCAAGAGTCCAAGCCTCCGTCATTTGCTCTATGGTGATGACTTTACAAAACCTCAAATCCAAATAACAACAACGAAAAACAAACAACAAAACTGGGCATGTGCTAAGAAAAGGAGAAAGACATACTGGAAGGGAAAACAAAATGAACTTTCTTGTTCAGTACTACAGCTCCGGTGGCTCACGTACGCTCAAAGTGGCTCCCCTAGCTTTTCTTATGCAGATCTGCCTTTGAAAAAGGGACCAACTTGGAGAACCCAGCACCAAAGCGGCACCCAGGGAGCAAACTGTAGGAAGGAGTTGAGACCCCAGGAAGGTGAAGCAGCGCTGCAGCCCTCCCCTCCCACCCCATCCCCCTTGCCGGGAATTGCCTTGGCTGGACAATTCTTGAATCTGATCAATGTTGTTTCTAGTGTAGGCTCTTTGCTGGTCAGCCCACCAGATGGGATAAGGATCCATAGCTTGGGATTCTTTCCTTGCTTGAAGTTATTTCCCGATCTGTCCTTTCTTGTTGCAGGAATGCTACCCAAACCAGCAGTCCATCACCGGCATCCCAAACATGTGGGGAGATGCGGGATGCGGGGTTCTCGGCGCAGTTGTGGGGTTCTGCATGTTTTGCAGAACACACACTCGCGTGCAGAATGGCTTCTGCGCCTGGAGTCGGGTGTGGAGATCTGTAACCCGGAGCAAACAAACTCCACACCTGCTTGGATCTGCACTGGGACCCAAGTTCCAAAGGACTGTGGTTCTGGGATTGTCTGCCATCCCTCTCACCAACCTCAAACAAAATTTTAGTTTTGTTTTGTCTGTTCTTAGAATTTTTTTTTTAATTAGAGTTGTCGGGGCCTTTCTTTTCTTTTTCTTAAAAAATTTTTTTGTTTTGCAATTTGGTTTGCAAAGAAACATAGTGAATAATGAAGAATTCGGTTTTGTAAGAGAAGAGGTCTGAAGGAAATGGAATCGTTGCCCAGCCTTCCTCTGCTCCTTCATTTACGCTGTGAATAAAACCCCAGCTCTCCATGAGGCCTGGGGAAGGCGCATCCTGTAGAAACCTCGGTAACCCCAAACTGCTTTGAATGTGCCTGAAATTTGGAACCGCTATCTCTTTTTCCTCTTTCTGATGGCACTAGTAACGTGTGCTAGCGCACGTGGGGGCGACCGGCTGCTCGCCGAGACCACCGCCAGCCTCGCCTCACCTCGCGCTGTGCTGCGCTGCGCTCTGCTCCTGGCTCCTGGCTTTCTGTTATGATCCCAACAACCCTGGGAAAATGCCGGTGGGCTGGGGGCTGGGGCGGGGAGGCGGTCAGTGCCATCAGATCCCGGCACTGTTTGCCGTTGGACTTCCAGGGGGATCTTCTGCACACCCTCAGCTACTTTCTTGCTTCACTTCCCAATTTCAGCCTTGATTCCAGAACAACAACAAAAAAAGCCTATTAAAAAAATGACATGGATGTTTTAAACACACGAATATTTACAAACACGGTAAAAAGCAGAACTAGGAACAATTATGTGACTGTGTCACTTCTCCCACACAAGAAAACAGTTAACCCAAACGGCACGGGTTTGGAGGTGCGTTGGGGGGCGCGGCGCTGGGATGCGCGGAGCGATGAAGTAGGGTATAGCTCCGGAGTGGGGGGGCGGTGCCTTGGCACTGGGTTTAGCGGTGGCTGGGGTGACCGGAGTCCTCCCGGCTACCTGCCCCAGCTCGCGATCCAGCGTGAGTCCAACAGAGTGGCCCGGCGCTGGAGCGCGCTGGAGCGAACCAGCGGGGCGCGAGCCCGGCTGCCGACAAGCTGGTGCGAGATGTTGCAGCCAACCCGGCTGCTGCGAATTCGCTCTGCCCGGAACGAAGGCAGCCCAGCCCGGACCTCTAGACTTCAGAGGTGGGCACGGAAATGAGGGTGTTCCGCCCACCTCTTCATTGCCAGACCCGGGATGAAAACCAGAACTAAGATGTGGCAGGAGGTGGAAAGGAGCGTCTAACCCGCGGCAACAGCACGCGTGTGCGCGCGGGCGCCCACCGCCTCGCATCACACATCACACGCGCGCGCCACAAACACCCAGACTCCACAAGAGCCTCAGCACACAATCCACAGGCAACCACAACGCCGCGCATACATAGCAA